ATAGTGATATTTTATATTCTGCCATTTGACTAATGAATTAATAGACTAATCATTTCAGCTCAACAAAAGTCACTGTAAAAATATCCATTTTGAAAAACTAAAATTGAATGAATTTTCTTGTAGAAAATATTTATTTTGCAGTAAAAACAAAAAAGCATACATGGACTAAACGTGACTAAATATGCATTAGATCATTCATTCAGCATATCCGCCATAGCAGACGTGATATCTGACGTGTATGGAAAAGGCCAAAATTAGCAAATCCAATTCAGTGATCTAACAAGAAGCGCAGCAAGCTGACAACTGATCCTTTATGATGTTACATCACAGACAACACTCCTGTACACTCCACATTTTGTTTCTGCTGTATAATAAACTATTAATAAGATCTATTACTATTACATCATTTACATTAATTATCTGTAAGTGTATAAACCCAGAATGAAGTTAAATAATGTGCTTGCAAGATGGGCTGTGAAGTGTGATTATGTGTCTGCACATACTGAGCATCCTAATGTTTGTGACAGTGAGGATGCTGAATTAATATCAGATCTTTGCAGCAGACGTCTATAGGTAGAAACAAAACTTTAATCATTTATAGTGTGCATTTTTATAGAGACATAAATGAACATTTAATGCTTACATTTTCAAGGAGGTGTTTTCACAGGGTCAACTTGATTCAGTTTAGTTTATCCTGAAAATGCCTGGATATTTATTGCTTCATAAAATCTGTCTGCATGTGAATCACAGCTGTTAGTCTGATTCCCGCTAAGACAAAATCTCAACATGCCCAAAGCACAACAGCTACCAACCAATAAAGTGGACTGGTTCCTGGATAAAAGCCCCTGATAAATAAATAAGCACAGTACGAATCGTTAGAAAGCTTTTAAAGGAGGAGGAATACTGACAAATCTATGGCATTAGAAAAGACTGCAGTTGTTTTGCTGCAACACTTTTGTTAGGGGTGGATTCTAGATTATAAATTCACTTGAAACCTAAACAAAATGATCACATTTAATCACCTCCTTGTAACATTGTGCACAATTTCTTATTATGTAGTTATAGCTACAATAAAGAGGGCATCAAGGGAAAAAAATCACAACTAAATCATGATAAGCAGGATGGAAGACTGGCATGAAATACTGTGACAACAAACAGACAAGTGATGACGTCACATGCTGAGATGTTGGAGCATATTTCTCGGCCTTCAATGGTATTTCACAGGAGAATCAATCGGATACATTAGGCTTTTAAAGAAAGACAGAATCTTTAATCACAACCATATACAGATGCAATTGGAAGACGAATCCTCCATCACAACACTAGTTCCCAGAATTGACGGATATTTTAGAAAAGCTGGGTACTGACAAACAGATAAATGCTCCTTGTGCCAATCTTGAATATTAAGCAGACACTTTGCATCTGTTTTTGCAACAGCAATGCAATCAATTTAACCCCAACCCATTTGTCTAAAGCAGTTACCCAGCTCAATTACACCAACAGACCTCATCAGCATCCCACTTCCTACCAGTTACCAGCCCCTGCTAGGTTCTTGGCTCCATCTCTCCCTCCACATAGCACGGACTGTATTTAATCAGCCATCTGCAACAGTTGGGAGGCCGCATCTAAGCCTCCACTGAGCATGGAGCCAGGGTATGAACCTCAATGGCCCTCATGTAAGCAGGACTTGCTCTGTCTGGATTATTGTCAAACACATTATTGTGGAGCCTAATAAAACCCACAGACATACAGTGGGCTGCTCGACTGCTGCTCATCAATTCGACTGGCAGGGAGAAAACAACCGAATTACATAATTCATGTGACTGACTTCCATTTGTAGCCATGCTCAAGTGGAAGAAGTAGCATAATAAATGAGAGTGAGCAGCACAGGAGCTGCTTCACTGGAAATCAATTAGCTCAGCATTTCCACATGGCATAAAACCCTGCATCTATTTATCTGATGTGGTGCAAAACATGTTCAAACTAACCACAGTATGTAGAAATGGAACTCACCCACGTAACACACACACAAAACAAATGTAAAACTTTCCTATGTACTTTTGTAAACATACTGTACTTACCAGCAAGTAGTAGTTAAAAGTAGTTTTATTTTTTATTTTATTTTATATATATATTATTTGTTAAATTTAGAGATTAACTTAAAATGGTTATAACCTGCTGATATTTACAAAATTCATAATAAATGACAAGCAATTTTATAATTTGTATGTTTTCCCCTTACTGTACCCAAAATGAACCAAACCATGACTTCAAAACCGGGGTACATACCGAACTGTGATTTTTGTATAACCCTGCTGGCTTGTCAATATATTGGATAGCTCCTGCCTGTTCAGCATCTCTTGGCATGTTCTGTCCCAGCTGGATATATGCTCCACAATGCAGCAATTTCAGTAATGACAGGTGACTCCACCTTTAACTTATAAATGCCACTGTGACTTATTGAGTGAAGTGAATACTGGTGTCAATATGTCCTACAACACCTGAAATAATATATTCACATTTAAAATAAATCTCATTCAACAATGCACCATTTTAACACACCTGAGTTTCAGTAAACATAGAAATGTTGCTCAATATGTCACACTTAATTCAAAATTAATGTGCCAACAACATGACTTTTATTAATAAAATTACCATTTAAATAGATTTAGGCATACCAAGGTGTGTGTTAAGACTGAAAATATAGGGCAAATAATCCACTCAGAAGATGAAGATTAATATAAAATGAAATCTGTAACGGGGCTTGAACAATTCAGTGGCTCATATACTCTGTCGAAATGGAAACTTCAAACTCACATGGTTTTATGTGGAAGGAAACAAGGCAAAACCAACTTACAATAAAAAAGGAGTCACGGTTTATGGGGTTTTCCGGCATCAGACAGTTAGTCATTCATTTCCCATTGAGTTTCATTTCAGTACTTTTCGAGAATGACACTTAACCCGGACGAGTAGCTCCTCAGGCGGAATTTCATAAAAGTTTTTTCTGACACTGTAAAGCGCTTTTTGTGAGGAGAATAAGCGGCCAGGATGAGCAAAATGATAAAACGAACACACGGTGGATATAAGTGCTGTAAAAACTTACATATCTGCTGATGAGGGTCCGAAGAGTACTGAAATCCATCCCCATCCTGCTCCTCTTTCCTCTTCTTCTTCTTCGAGTTGTTCTTCCAAAGGTTACTTTACTGTAGGTGCTAGCTTTGTAACTCTCCTTCTTTGTCCATGACTTTCTCTCCCTTCTCTTCTTCCTGGAATAAAAAATGGCTCGGTAAACCTGCACTCACCTACGGGAGACCGTAACAGGAGTGGTTATCTGTGTGGCTATTACTACACTTTTACTACAGTTCATACAAGCACAGACAAGTAAAGCGCTCCGGGACGAAAGCAATACCTCTCGCGCTCCCTCTCTTCCCCTGTGAGTGCACTGATAATCTTCTTGTCTCGCGCCGGGCCACACGAGCTTTTCTTTCAAATACGTCACGAGGAGCCAGGTGACGGCTCTGCCTGGAGGTGAGCGCATGCGCAGTTGGGGGGCTGTAATTATTGATTGGACACGCTTGTTAATCAGGAGATTGAATTGTGGTGCTGTCCACCCAGTTGGTGCTGAAATCGTAAAAAAAGTACTTTTATGGACGTTTGTTTCCATTTATGATGTATCAATCAAACCGACGTTTCATTTTTGACAGAATATGTCAGAAGTAACCTACATGACAAATTATAAAAACACCGGATCTTTACGATTAAAATGATTAGAAAGGCAGAAAATTAAAATTAAATCTGATGAACGTTTTACAGAAATAAGGACAATCACCGTTACTTGGCCAAGTATGTTAAACACACAAGGAATTTGTTTCCGGTATAGAACCGAGGCAGCCATCGGCAGCGCCCAACTCGCACCAATGGCTCTAACAATCTGGGGACTCCGCGTCTTGCCCAAGAACACTTCGACATGTGGACTGCAGAGACCATGATTTGAACCTCCAACCCTCTGGTTGGGGGACTACCGCTCTACCTACTGAACCACAGTCGACCCCAGTTAAACAAATTTTGAAATAATTTTGTTGAATCTAAAGATACTTTATATATAATTAATCAATTCCTCAAACCATATCAAAGCATCAGTTTGAAAACGTTAACTGTCAGCTTAAGGGTCAGAACCACAATCCACGGTGCTCTGTTTCCGGAGGGAAAATTTTCATTCATTTGTCCCACCTCTGTTTCCTGAGACGCTTTTCGGCGGGTTCGGTTGAAACACCAACGTCAAGTCACCACAAATAAAACAACCACATCCGGTTTTTCTCTTCAAAATTAAACTCTTAGTAGTCAGAGATGACGTTTTTAAAATGAGTACTGCAAGAAAGAGTACCTATGTATGTACAAGGGTAATAGCCATCCAGGTTATTTGTTTTTTAACTATTATATAAAGTCACTTTCGGCTTTTCCCGTTTAGGGGTCGCCATAACGAATCGTCACACTGACGACTTGCATGTTGACATTTGGCACGTGTTTTACGCCGGATGCCCTTCCTGACCCAACCCTGATTCGAACCCGGGCGCCGCTGCGCCTTAACCACTAGCCTACCAGGGACGGCTCTTGGTTTTTAATCATTATGATTTTATTAATTGAATTCTCATGATTGTACTTTTAAAAAGTAGGCCTATTTGTATACTTCTCTCAAAACCTGCATCTTATTATAATGCTATAGTGAAGTTTGATGGTTTACAAGAGGTCCATGTAACAATATATACTCATGGCTGCATGAAACAACACAGCCTGAGGGTATAAATCCCACTGTTAAAATCATAAATCTAACTTTGAGAGGGGTTCACTCCTGGCGTATATATATATATAGTCAGTTTATAACAGGGTTTCCATTTCAGCATGATAATATACCCTCATTCATTCATCTTTCCTGATAGCCAAGGTAACAAGTTAAAAATCCTATGCCCTTACTTTGAAGTAAACATGGCGCTAGTTGCGGACATATTCTTCCTGCGATGTGCTAGCTTGACTCAACTTGTCAAAAATGGAGTTGTTCGTAGTGTGCGATTGGAGTTAGTTCATGTAATTCAGTGGTATTCAGGCATTTATTTGGGCAACACATGAAACATCAGCTACAGGCAGTATGGCGACTTTGGATCAGAAATCTCCCAATGTGCTTCTCCAGAGCCTCTGCTGCAGAATCACGGGGAAAAGCGAAGGTACATAAGTTAACGTTAGCATGCTCCGCGCCAGTCTGGTAACGTGCAATACCCAAGTATTCAGGAAAGCCTCATTCAGACAATCGGAATTTTGTTGTTGCTGTTCACATTGATGATCATACACATTTTACACATAACCTAAAGACATCGGTTGAATCCCTATCTTGTACCGGTAAATTCGTCGTATAATTTCCACTGTAGGGAGCCATCATTTGTTCATAAATTAAACTTTTTACACTTCTTGTGCCAACTTAACCTGGTGTGTTTTGTCACGGAATACTGCAGAAAACGGCTGAAGTTTTACTGCAATTGGTGCTGCATGGTCGTTTGAACCTGTGCTGAGCTGATGAGAAAATATTATTCCCGTCTTATTGTTCTTGCAATTAAACAAGCACACGTTTAAATTCCAGGCTGATTAAAAATTAACTGAATGCAACATCGCTTTATCTACGTTTGACAGCGGCACGTAGCAGGACTGGGTGCAGTCAGTGAGCTTGGCTAGATGCTGCACACCCCGCTTAACAGTTTCGTCGTTCTTCAGATGTTACTCTCTGTTAGCATTGGTTTGACAAATTGGTTAGTCGTTCACTTCGGCTACCTATGAGATTGCGAACCAGTTAGCATTGTTGCAGACTAACACACTGATGCTAACTTAGCTGCAGGCCCCTCCTGGATGCAGGCATCTCAGAGCAAGGTTAGCATATATGATCAGAGACAACTGAAAAATATTACTGTAATCGCGTGTTTTCAGTCACTTTGACTGTGGCTTTAACCCAGATATTAAAGATACCAGAGCTTTGCACTGAGGCATTGTTGACAGAAATCTTAGGAAGGATTTTTTTTTTTTTTAATCCAGAGTGTTAGCCACACTAATTTTGCCTCATTATTCACAGCCCCTTTCAAAGCCGAAAACCACTCACATAATTATACTAATATCTAAAGTGTTATACTGTATATTTACAATTACCAGAGCTTTTCCCTGGGGAATTGTTGACAGAAATCTTAGGAAGGATTTTTTTTTTTTTTTAATCCAGAGTGTTAGCCACACTAATTTTGCCTCATTATTCACAGCCCCTTTCAAAGCCGAAAACCACTCACATAATTATACTAATATCTAAAGTGTTATACTGTATATTTACAATTTTTTGAGAAATATGGGGTAATAGCAGCAACTGAATCTTATGGTCACACCTGTTCATGATGATTTCTACACTTCTTCAAAGTACTGTTTATTTACTGTACTGTTACCTTGAGTCATAACTGACTATTCACTTCTCCAGCTGAAGTTGCCCACCAGTTCCAGTATGCGGTACGAGTCATCGGCAGTAACTATGCCCCCACTATTGAACGGGATGAGTTCCTGGTGTCAGAGAAGATCAAGAAAGAATGTAAGTAACATCTGGAAAAATATTATCCCCAATTTACATTACATTACGTTGGAATGAGACCCATTGCTCCTATATGAAACAAAAAAGCACAGAACCTAATGTACAGAGTGTTTTATTTATCCAAGATTTTAAGGTGGACTTAAAGTATTGGAACTTTAATAAAGTATTTTTAAGGTTATGGGGTTGCTGTAGAAATGATGACACAGGTTGTTACTGTGAAACAGGAACTATAGATTCCTAATGTGATTAACATTTTAATCAGTTTAACTTCAATCACAAGAGTTCACATGCAGTACAAGAAAAATATTTCAATAATACAAACAAAAACAGCTGGATTTCTTTCACTATTTAGCCATTTGCATTGTTTGTAGATCAGTCACCAGTCCCGCAAAATAAATCTTATATTAAAAACCTGTTCAAATCTTGCAGGGAATTACAGGAATTCTCCACCCTCAGTTTGTGTCATCTCTTAATCAGTACTAATAGAGACTTTGAGGAACTTCTCGACTATAACAGATTTTATCTCAATGCTGTTGCAGTGCTGAAGCAGAGGAGAGAGGCAGATGCTGCTCTGTTCTCAGAGCTGCACAGAAAACTTCAGACGCAGGTTGGATTTCCTTCTTTCTGCACTTTATTCTTACCAGCACAGATGACCTTCTGAACCAGCACTAAAACAGTTATGGTACCTTTACTCGATTAACTCAGGATGCAGCATATTTACGGGAGGAATCTGATCAAAATGCCTCATTTAAATCAGTACGTTATGATTTTCATACAGTCAGTCAGTCTAGTGTTGATCATATTATTTATTCATTTATTTTGAATTAGTCTGTAAGTAAATTTAGGGTTTTTTTTTCCTTGCAGTGTCTTAAACAGATTATAATGATGTTTAGCTGATGAGAGCTAGTGTTTCCTGTTTGACAGGGTGTTCTGAAGCATCGCTGGTCTGTTCTCTACCTGCTGCTCAGCCTCTCTGAAGACCCTCGGAAACCGTCCAGCAGGGTGAGGGACGTGCACCTGCACACATAGATTGACTTTGACCTTGGTGGAAGTTTTTGTTTTGTGTTTTTCCACTTGTGTGTCTTGTACCAGCTGCAGTTGAAATTGCGCACTTGTTACTTTCATTCATACTTTAATTATAACTGTACTTTTAAACACAAGACCCTCACCTCCTCACTGTGTTCCTGCCCTTCCCAGGTTGGGAACTATGGGGCACTGTTTGCCCAGGCTCTCCCCAGGGACGCCCACTCCACCCCATTCTACTGCACCCGACCGCAGAGTCTGGCCCTGAGCTATGGGGAGAGGCCTGTGGGTCTGTCAGCCAGCATGGGGACCAGTGGCATCTCCAGTCTGGGAGTGTATACACTCAATGGACCTACACCAACGCCACAGTCACTGCTGACTGGGTGAGTGTTTTCACTTGGATTTCCACACAGAAAGAAACTGGTTGACTGCACAGTTCTGAAACTTTAGCCCTTTGGTCTTTATAATTATTAAATAATTAACACATTCACAGAGAAGAGAAAGCACTTACATCTTCAGAGCTGTGTTTAAGCTGTGTCGTCTGAAAGGCTCCGATGTGAACAGCATTCTCCATCTGATGCTCACCCTGTGAAAACAATCAGTGTCAGATAAAAGGGGCATCAATTAGCACAAGGAAATGAACTTTCCTCTCAGCCTGACCTCTGAAAAGTCTGTTTTATGAGGCATCTGAAGGCCATTTTATTCCATTTATCCTCATTAAAAATGCAGGAGCCATTTAGTTACAAATGACCACTGAGCTGTCTGGGCTCACTGTTTAGCTGCTAAAGGGTGAATCTGTACTCCAAACATAAAAAAGGTCAAATGACATTGAATTATAATAAAAAAAACCAGTAGTGGTGCTTTAGTTGTGGAAAGATATGGTTTGAGCTTGGTTTCTTTTTATGTGCTTTATTTGCTGAGTACAGTGTTCACTATGATGTTAGGGAGTAGGATGACCTGTAAATGGGGTGCCACACACCCATGGTAGACTAGAACCTAGGGGAAATACTTTCACAACACTGGTGTTGATTGATTCCCTCAGACCAATGTAAGATACATCAGTTAATGTGTGTGTTTCAGTCAACCTGCTCAGTCTGCAGCAGCAGCCAGTCAGCCCCTGGGCTCCCGTGCTCGGACCTCCAGCTCCCTCCACCAGAGTGGTCCGTCCTCGCCGAGACGGTGACACAGCTGGTGAGTGATGTGTTTAAAGCCAGAATGACTTCAGGCCTGTGTGTAGTGCTGGTTACAGGCTGGTTACAGGCTGGGGTCATACATGTTCTGCTTTTTTCATCTGCTTTCATAAACACAAAGTTAGAGGTTATGTCCCTAAGTAGTTTCCACTTTGAATCCTGCTTTTATTAAATTTTGTCTAATTGTCTTTAAAAGGTCATTTTAGAGTTTTTTTTTCTAAGATACTTTTACCAGCTGAACTTTAGCTTTCATTTCAAACTGAGAGCACAAACTGTATTTCTAACGCACAGTAAATCCTCTCATTCTCTGCTGGTGCAGGGGAGGTGAACGAGGCGGCGCTGGTGCGGGACATCCTCTACGTCTTCCAGGGAATTGATGGCAAGTTCATCAAGATGAGTGCCCAGGACAGCTCCTACAAAATAGATAGCAAGGTACCTGAACCTGCACCGAGCCTGGTAAAGCATTTAACAGATGAATCAGTTCAGCTTTAGTAAAAGGTGTTACAGTGCAGACCTTAAGGTGACAAACCTCCTACAAACTCTTGATGTCTTGCGCAGAATGTGACAATCTGTTCATAGCTTCTTTTGTGGAGGATTTATTTCCATACTGAACAAATTCTTATTGGGCAGAGCTGAACTAACGGTCACCACAGAGTAGATGATATGAATACTATTGTTGTTGATTGGACTTTAAAAGAGAGATTCAACAGATCAATATGATGCTCTTTGGGTCCGAGCCACATCGATCTCTATTTTCACTGTTCTTATCTCTATCCTGTCAATTTCTTTTGCTACTCCTCCTCCCCCTCTGTCATATCATTAATATGAAGGCCTTAGCTGTAACCTGTCCCATATTCTGTCAGTGGTTCTAAACATAGACATGGTCAAACTGCTGCCACCGTCCTAATGGAGAAGGAGCCGCTGAGACCAGAGATAAATGAGTCAAGGATGGAGATATTCTGAGCTCCTCTTTGGCCACTTAACCGCTCTCGAAAGCTCTCTTGATAAGAGGTTTTGTTAAACAGTTAAAAATTTAATGCGTCATTAAATGTGAACTGGAAAACACATCTGTTGCTGTTACAGCGGATACATCATGTAAAATACAGTCATCTTCATGATGTAACTCCATCAGAGCTTTCAGCATGTGGTGGATGAAGTTTAGTCAAGTTTTTAATTAACATACTATTATCACATGTGTGGCTTTAGTAACAGTTGGGCATTGTACCTGTTTGGTAAACAGTAGTAGCACCTGTCTTCATCTCTCTCTCTCAAATATCAGATTTGACTTGGTATGGGAAGATAGAAAATATTAAAGGACTGAAGATCAGAGCGTTAATTACAAATCATACACATCTTCTTTATCACAAGTTGGATAAACAAAAGGAGCATTGAGTGTACTGCAGATGTCTAATGTGTACCATGTGCTGTGCCTCACCAGGTGGTGCTGTGCAAGTCCTTGAGGGACACCAGCAGCAGACTGGCTGAGCTTGGCTGGCTCCACAACAAAGTCAGGAAATACACAGACGCCAGAAGCCTTGACCGTGCATTTGGTCTGGTCGGACAGGTCTGTCCACTTTGGTCCTTATTATCTTTTTTTTGGATATGTTTTATGTAAATCCAATCCTCACCTAAATCTAATTCATATCCTTCCATCGCTGTTTGTCCTCCTCTCTCTCTTCCCCCCTCAGAGCTTCTGTGCCTCACTCCACCAGGAGTTGAAGGAGTACTACAGGCTGTTGTCCGTTCTCCACTCACAGGTACACAAACAGTATCTGACATATTAATTATTAAAGTCTACAAAACATCACTCGTGATAATTTGAGATCATGAGATTTGCCAGAAAGTTATTTTGTGTTTCTCCATATGACCAGCATGCACAGAAACATGTTTCAGGCATTTCCCCCTCTGTTCTGGTCATTGCTAATTCTTGACCTGGTTTGTGTGTGTGCTGCAGTTGCAGGTGGAGGACGAGCAAGGTGTGACCGTGTGCACTGACAGCAGTTTGACTCTCAGGAGGCTGTTGGTCTGGATGTACGACCCCAAAGTCCGGCTCAAGACGCTGGCTGCCCTCGTCGATTTCTGCCAAGGTGAATTTGATGTGTGTGTGTGTGTGCGTGTGCATGCAGATTAAGACACTATGTTTAATGTAGAATTTGAGTGTTAAAGTTTTGGATGACTAAGATGCCCCCGTGTTATTGTCTTTGTGTGTGTTCAGGTCGGAAGGGAGGTGAGCTGGCCTCAGCTGTCCATGCCTACGGGAAAACAGGGGACCCACAGATGAGAGCGTTGGTTCAACACATCCTCAGCCTGGTGTCACACCCTATCCTCAACTTCCTCTACAGGTGGATCTACGATGGAGAGCTTGAGGACACCTACCACGAGGTACACACAGCTCCTTCTCATCCCTCTTTCTGCATGTGTTTTGGACCATTTCTGGACAGTCATGTGATTAGCGTTGACTATACAGGTCAGTGTGATTATAATCAGCCTAAATATAGTGTAGTGAGAGAGAAAGTCTCCTCGGTCCTTTATAGTGAGAATTCATCAGGAATTTACTGCTCATTTCTAGAAACTGTTCTGTCCAACTGCTCTGACATTTGACCCCAACGAGAGAACATTAGAATGAGAAGGAAAGAAGGAGAGAGATAAAGAAAGAGAGGAAAGCCAGGACAGTTTCTTAAATGAGGACGGATGAGAGGAGCGTAATAGAGAAACCGCTGATGGATGGGTCTGGTTCTCCTTTACTTCTCCACAACCCTCTCTCTCTTTCTGTTTCTCACTCACACACAGTATTTATGTGTCCAGTGTTAACCTTTAGTTATCTCTGGACTGTGGTCTTAAGTACTGTGTCTAAGAACACAGAGACGAAGTTATGGTACCTTTCAGAAGGGAAATGACCTACGAGGTCACACATAGTCTCTTAAAACACATGGGATGATTTATGGTGTAGCAGTATTGTAACACAAGTATATTTTAATATGAGAAACTGAAAATGGGCTAATGTATTAATTAGTCATTTGCAAACTTTAAGTTGTAAGTTCACTAAGGAGCAGTGACAACTTGATTTCTTCACTGTAAAATGTCCCACTCGGGCTCATATGTGAGCTAATAGGCTGTGGGATTGTGTTCAGCAGTGATGGATTCATAGCAAAACTGACATCCCATGTCAGTTCAGAAATGTATTAGCATACACAGAGTACGCAGCTCTGAGCAGGCCCATTATAAAGCCAGTGGGAGCTACTGCACTGCCTGTGGAGTAAATGGACAATCTAAGTGAGTGTGACAAAGGATGAAAGCCTGTGTCACGGTCTGCACACTCTGTCCATAGACCGAGTTCTTCATCCACTGAACCATAACTTTATTCTTGTCCAGAGTTACATTAGATTTCAGTCGGGCTATGGACTCCCCATAGACAGTGTAATCAATTCTATAATAAATAAATCTGTAATTAATAAAATGTATTATATCCAGCACATTAGACATAGCACCTGATCAAATTGCATCTTAAACTACTTGTGTCTCTATGGATGTGTGTAGTTCTTTGTTGCATCAGATCCCAATGTGAAGACTGATCGTCTGTGGCATGACAAGTACTCCCTCAGGAAGTCAATGATCCCCTCATTCATCACCATGGACCAGGCCCGCAAGGTGCGAGACAACACAAAAACAACTTTTACATCCTGCCTGCTGCTTTATCTCAGGTCACATCAGCTCATTATCATCTGTCCCCTCTAGGTTCTGCTGATTGGTAAATCCATTAACTTCCTGCATCAAGTTTGTCATGACCGAACGCCACCAGGCAAAATCACACCAGCATCCAAGTCTGCAGACACACCTAAAGATGGTACAAATCTCAAATGATCACATGGGGTTTAAAGCTTGTTTACATATCTGCACAGTTTCATAACTGGGATTAAAGGAGTGTTTTGGATTACAAAATAGGAAATGATCTGAAGTACAGTACTCTTAGTTTTCTGTCTTCACCGTTATCGCTTGGATCAAGTGTTCTTATCAAATCATTAGCTGCTATTTTTGAATTTCATCTTCATCTTCATCATACTGATGTTATATTGATGCAAGCAAGTAGAATGGCAGTGATCGATGCTCTTACCGCTCACTGGCCTTGTCCTCCTCTCATTCTGACTATAAAGTGGTAAGAGGTATACTTAGCCATATGCTATTGATTCAGTCTGCAGGACTTCATCTGACCAGTTTGATCTTCAGCTTTTACTGTATCTGTTCAAGGACACTGCGCTCTCTTTTCACTTACCGTCCAGCCGCACAGATCTGGCTGGACCAGAAGAGGATATTTGTGTGCATGACCCTGAGTCCAGTCCGACTCTTAGCACTTTCTTGCCTTGAAAAATAATCAAACGCATCAGATCTTGTTCTTAGAAGCTGATCACCAGTACAGTTTTTAAGATTAATATCAGATGAAGAATGACTAACAGAACGTGTTGCTTTCTAAAATCCCTTTGAGGCGAAACCCCAGTTAATACCTGCTCCACTTCTGTCTCCACTGTCACATAGCTGCTGAGCTGCTGTCTGACCTGGAGGGGGCGTTTCAGGAGAAGATTGACGCTGCCTACTTTGACACCAGTAAATATCTACTGGATGTTCTCAACTGCAACTACCTGCTGCTAGAGCATCTGCAGGCCATGAGGAGATACGTACTGCTGGGCCAAGGAGACTTCATCAGACATCTCATGGACCTGCTCAAGTTAGCAATGCATGCTTTGAAGAAGCAGTATCTTCTCTGTTATAACACAGCTGAGTGATCTGGTGCATTGTATATATAAAGTACAAATTATTAGACAAACTATCAAGTTTCACCCTTGTGTGTCCTTGTAGACCAGAGTTAGCACGTCCTGCAACCACTTTGTACCAGCACAACCTGACTGGTATCTTGGAGACAGCAGTCAGAGCCACCAACGCCCAGTTTGACAATGCAGAGATTCTCAAGAGGCTGGATGTGCGTCTGCTAGAGGTAAATCTGTGTATGTGTGTGTGTGGAGGGGGTGCATCGCTGCCTCTCTGACTGTCCTTAACCTTGTGACATCTGTCTTTTGTTGCCTGCAGGTGTCTCCTGGCGATACAGGCTGGGATGTTTTCAGCCTGGACTACCATGTGGATGGACCCATCGCTACGGTAACACACACACAATACAGCTTATTTTTCTGTCTGGAATTTTGGAAATTTGTGTATGTAACTGAGTATGTTTCAGGTGTTCACAAGAGAATGTATGGGCCACTATCTGCGTGTGTTCAACTTCCTGTGGAGGGCCAAGAGGATGGAGTACACACTAACTGACATCTGGAAGGGACAGATGTGTAATGCCAAGCTGCTCAAAAATATGCCTGGTAAATAGACACACAAACACACACATAGTGAGAACTCAGAGCAGTTCATATTGTGCGGCGTATTGTAATGTCACTGGCCACCGTGCTTTTTACCCTTCAGAGTTGTCTGGTGTGTTGCATCAGTGTCACATCCTGGCCTCCGAGATGGTCCACTTCATCCACCAAATGCAGTACTACATCACCTTCGAGGTCAGACCATTAGTGCTGTTACCATCACAGGCTGTAAAACATCAGTAAACAGTAGTAATTACAGCAGGAGATGATCTGCTGGCTCAGTTAAATGCAGCGCTGCATGACTGATGTACACTATCAACAGCAGCCTTGAAGTTAAAGAGGTTAACGCCATTTCAGAAGGTTACTGGTTCCAGTCCAGGCTGACACTGAACCTAGAGTGAAAGTCAGACTAATGAGGTTGTTTTAAATGGGCATGTGTAGGTGCTAGAGTGCTCCTGGGACGAGTTGTGGAACAAAGTGCAGCAGGCTCAAGACCTCGACCACATCATCGCCGCCCATGAAGTCTTCCAGGACACAATCATCTCCAGATGCCTGTTGGACAATAACAGCAGGGTAGCAAACACACGAACACAGGATCTTTTAAATTGTTAGTAATTTCTCAGCCTCCCCTGTCAACACTAGTTCTTAAACTTTGTTTCAGTCTCTTTTGAACCAGCTGAGGGCCATATTTGACCAGATCATCGAGTTTCAGAGCGCTCAGGACTCCCTGTACCGCTTGGCACTGGAGGAACTCAGCCTGAGACTGCAGTATGAAGAGAAGAAACAGCAGAGAGAGGAGGAGGTGAGAAGGGGAGGAGAGGAGGAGCGTGCTGCATTAAAGAGATAAAATAAGTGGGATCGTAGAACCTAAAGGTGTGTTATTTTTATTGTGATTAACATGTCTCCACCCGTGTCTGCCTGCTGATTTAGGGTCAGTGGGGAGTGACGGCGGAACAGGAGGCAGAGGAAAAGAAAAGGGTCCAGGAGTTCCAGGAGACCATACCAAAGATGCGCTCCCAGCTCCGCATCCTCACCCACTTCTACCAGGTATGAAGCCAGCTGTTAAACAGTATCTTCTCCTTTTCTTTTGTACTTTTCTGTGTTCATCCCTCCACATCTGTCTGATCTTCTCCCAGAGCATAGTCCAGCAGTTCCTGGTGTTGCTGATGACCAGCTCAGATGAGAGTCTGCGTTTCCTCAGCTTCAGACTGGATTTCAACGAACACTACAGGTTTGCCTTTTGAACCAAAACATCCTGTAAGGTGTCCTGTGGGACAGTGTTAGTCCTATTAAAGTGCTGTCCTACCAGGTTAGACCTTGAAAGATACCTGCAATATGTATAAAATGCAGAGGGTGCCATTTATAAATGACTTCTGTGGTTTTGTACTGGCCCAAAATTCTGTGAGGTAGCAAAAATGTAATGCAGCATACGCTGCAATAGAAAGAGGTCATTTTGATTCAGGCTGTAAATAATTGATGAATGATGAGTAGTAGTAGTGGAGTTCTCCAAAAAGTGGGGGGCATGCAGATTTACATGATGGAAACTTCTGATGTAATAATCAACTCTGTTTCCACTGTACTTCCCAGAGCCAATGATTAATTTTTTCCAATAGCCATGACAGATGAGGCTACTTAAGGTGTTTGTGTGCACATAACATGTTTATACAATAAATTAATACTTTTAATTCTCCCCTGCACAGGGCCAGAGAGCCGAGGCTGAGAGCCTCACTAGGTGCCACGCGAGGGCGACGGCTGTCAAACATCTTGTGACGATGATGGCACAGATGTTTCTAGTCACCGGCACACGGGGGATGACATCACAGCGACGGGCTGACCAGCAGACTCTCAGCGCTTCATGTCCAGATGATGTCATGCCTTGGAGGAGCGATCCCACGCTGTTCTGAACATTAGGGCTTTGCAGCTGTCACCAAGTGATGACATCACAGTGAAGTCAGCTGAGCTGCATCACTAAAGAATAAAGTCCAGTAAATCAGAGTGAGAGCTTGTTGTTAGTCAACAAACCCTAAACAGAATTCTGCAAAAGGAAAGGAAAACCGTGTGTGTGTGGAGGTAACACACAGCTGCTGTCAGACTGAGCTCCAGAATCACACAGGGCCACCTTACATGGCATGCCTTATCAGCGCGGTTGCCAAATCTAGTCCCAACACACACAATGTATGTACATAGAGGTAATGCTAACATGTATATATGCTGTACACCTTAACTGATACCTGTGGCTTTCATTTTTCACTAGGGTTCGACTGATATGGATTTTATTTTTTCAATTTTGTGTTTGTAGGAGTTACTAAAATAATTAATTTTTGTTCATTTTTATTATAAGTACTCCAAAGCAGATAGTATTTCTGCTGCAGTTTTGTTCTGAATTACAGTATGAGCCACTGAAAGTGTGCGATCAGGCAGGAGTCTTCACACCAGTGTATCGGCTTAACCCTAGCTCTCAGATCTCCTCCTTAATATCCAGGGTTTTTCAGTATGTCAGGTCAGCCGTCCAGTCACAATCATACAGAGGATTTGGAAGCATGTACACACCTGCAGGTAATCCTGCTTTGACTGACATGAAGACAACTCTAACTCATACAGACATACAACCCCCCTTTTTGTGTACTTTGTTAGTTACTACTTTGTTTATTTTGCCAGATAGTTTTCTGTTTGGAAACACTTACATGGCTTCAGACCAGTAAGATTCAGAGCTTGACTGATGACTGACAAATGTTATGAAGAATTTGTTTTTTAAATGTGGTTTCCTTCTGATTCCCTGCTTATTTTACAGTATGTGCTTTTAAGTCTGTATGAGAGCTGGGTCATGTTGAAGAAAACGATCCTCAGCAACCACAGCAACCTCACTTCTGGTTACTGTGTAAACCACGGGAACTCTTAACTGTTCATATATCTGTTTCTTTAAAAAGAAATGTAAATATCTCTAAATGAAATTCCAGGTTAAAAGAATGTATTATTATAGCTGTTCATATTATAAAGAAGAGAGTGTTATTAAGTGAGGTTTGCTCCATAAGAGATGAAGACAATGACATGATTCACAGAGAATTGATTCAGTAAAGTCACAGCGTTGCTGTTGTTCAGCCCGAGTTGCAGTTAACGTTTCATTTATTGGATTAACTCAGACTGGTAAAGACCCTAACAACCTCAGCGACAGCTCCAAGCTACATACTTTCACACTTAGTTAGTCTTTGTCTCAGATTTGGACAGAGTGCTCCTCAGAGATGGATCGTCACCCAAGTCTTTTGTAGTACACATTCAGATAATTTCCAAACCCACTAGAAACAAAATTAACAGATGTCAAACATGCATTTTAGTTAACGTAGTATTATCTAGTGTCACAGGATAAAAAGACATGACTGAAGGTCGAACCTGTGACCTTGTAGCCTTCCACTCTGGTCTCTCAGGCTCCCCCGTTCACCTTTAGCTGTATAATAACACAAAAGTAAAGTCTGGTTAGTCTCTGTTAGTTTGGGCTGCTCACTGTGTCGTTGATGCCGTGCAGTCACTGTGCACACATTCACTTACACTATCCTACTACACATAATGTGTACAGTGATGTTTTTATTTTTTTACTGTCAATGGAACAAAATCGGTGCAGCACACGGTCTGCAGATCAGTGAACTGCTCTCTGATAATGAATTTCTTTATACACACACAATGAGAAGAACTGAGCCTGGGTCAGCACTCCTGCATCGGCTGTCTGTGTTCCCTCTAGCCTGTATGGCACATAATGTACGGAATACAGGGAAACAAACTATCCCACTTCTTCTCTAATAAAATTACCGTTAAATGTGTGTCTGACTTGTTATAAAAGCAGTGGGGCTGTGCAGCTCTGCCTCTGGGCTGATGTCAATTTGCTGTGACCTGCTGCCACCTTCAGGCACAAAGTAAAATTAATAGCTGATCAGTTCAAGATATAAGTCACAAAAAATATCAGAATCAGCTTTATTGGCCAGGTGTGTCGGACACACCATGAATTTGACTCTGGTACATCGGCTCTCAATGTGCATGTACATATCGACATGCAAGGGGCAAGTAAACAGTAAACCAACATAAGGTTGTGTAATATAACAAAATAAGCAGTATTAACAAGTAACAAACAGTGTAAACAATGCAAAGTAAGCAGTATAAACGGGCAGTAAGCAATGCAGACAGACAAGGAATGCTCATTGTGAAATGGGATAAATAGAAAAACAAAGTACTTAAAAGTACTCTGGGTCCAGCCCCTCCCGTGACCCTGTTCAGGGATTAAGTGGTAGAAAATGAATGAATCTGAATACTTAAAAGTAGAGACCTGTACGATCTGTATAATCTGTTTAATGTATATTTACAGGTGTTGGACTGAGGGTTATTGTCCAGTCATACTGTTGTTAGTTAAGTGTTCATCAGAGTGACAGCCTGGGGGAAGAAACTGTTCCTGTACCTGGTTGTCTTGGTGCACAGTGACCTGTAACACCGTCCAGAGGGGAGGAGTTCAAACAGATTGTGTCCAGGGTGTGAGGGGTCTGCAGTGAATATCTACCTGAGGAACACTAATTTTGTTGAAGAACTTCTCAAACACTATTAAGACTTCACTTTATTAATTACTAAATTATTTGTTTTAAAAGTAATACCTTAGAAATGTATCTAATTATTTGGCTAATTTAATACAATGTGTGAGGTCTGGTCATAGATTAGGAAAATGTTAAGAAACTCAACACTAATACTAAATTGCAGCAACTAACTGTAAATAAGGTTGCACTTTAAAGTAGTTCCTAGTGTAGTATAAACAGGCAGATAGCTAAAAATTTTTAACCTGAGCTGAACAAGTCCATGTTTTAACTGGCTGATCTAAACACCCACAAGGTTTTGAATGTAAGAACGTTAATGTATTTTGAAATCCAGCAGATGGTAGCATTAGCTCACAGATAAAATATCAGATCACTATCTAAAAATAAAGTCAAGCACAGTCCTCACATGAAATGTCATTAGCCTCTTTCTAAACTGTACAGACCTATAAAAGTATAAATGTTCAAAGTCAAGGAAGCTTATTTTTGTGCAGTATATCAGTACAAAGTTAGTTTTTGGCAGCTAGAAACACCAGAGGGTTTAGTTATGACGAGTTAACACATTTACAGGTGGAAGCAACAGCTAATTTACCTGTGGTTTAGGGGGAGACATATCACTTACAGCATCTCTTATATATGCCACAGTGGTTCTCAGCCTATTTTGGATGAAGGAAAACAGCAGTAGTACCAGGGAATTAAATTATAGGGAGTTAAGTTGGGATCTTATTCACTTACTGTTTTCAAAATAGAGGAAACCATCACTATCACGTATTTGGGTTCAGGGAGGCACTACATTTCACTAACTCGTGTTGTGGTACTGATGTGATTTGACATAAATTAATATAATAAAGTGGATTCTACATTTGCACCCACTCATTTGTTGTGGACCACTAGAGGGCGCCACAGCTTTTCTATTCCACTGTCACCCTCTCCACCATCAGACTTCAGTCTCAATCAGAAAGCTACAATAAAACCAGACTATTTCAGTGTCTCTTGCATTAAGTTATTTAGCCATCGGGCTGCTCTTGTTCCCTTGTTGCTGGATGTTGGAGGGAGATATTAACACAGATCAGTTATTGATTCAGAGGCAGGAAGAAGACATGTATTACCTCATCATTCCTACCTCAAAACCCAATTGATTTGGTATTTAGCTTCTGTGCTGTTTGTACAAATGTGTGTAAATACCTGTTTGTTTGTCCAGAGAGTTGTCTCTTCGGGCACACACTTAACAGCCTCTTGTTTTTATAGATAACACTTTGAGAAAATCATCAATCTGGGAAGCCAGAGTACCAAGAAGCTGAGGGTCCTGCCTGCTGAGGTGGAACAGACAGACTGCCTGGATCTTTATTTTTTGTTCCTCCTATCTTCCTTCCTTCCTTCCCTCCTTCCAATATGTGATATATCTAAGTAAAGAGGTGATTGTCAGTGCATTAGTCTATGGTATCAAAATGGTTTCTGATTGCTCAAGACATTTCCTCCAGTACTCCCAGTGCCCCTCATGTCATTTTCTTCAACAGAAATAGCTTTGCTCTGCTGACCTCTACACAGGCATCAGTTTATTCTGCAGGTGTCAGTGGTCTTGGGAGTCTTTGACAGCCACTTACTTTTGCTAGCTGATGTTATGGGCCTCCTGCAAGACAAAATAACCTCAGTACATTTTGTAAAGCAAATTATTTTAGATTTAATGCCACATGATGTATTTCAGATGTCTCGGATACAGCGGGCATTCACTAACACATCTGTACTTTCACCAGCTTTGGTCACAGAGGCGACAGCAAGGACTTCCTTTAAGGAAGGGTTATTTAAATTTGACACACATTTTGGCCAAAACAATAATTGAGAGAGGCCATTGATACAATATCTAGACTTTCAAGTCTTTTATTTCCTTATAATTTCCTAATAGTTTCCTGGACAGAAGTATTGTATGAGCTTGCAAGTCAGTTCTTACCGATTTTTGGGAGAATTTACAGATAAACACACTCGATTATAAGTTTAATGAAACAGTTGGTTGTTGCTGGTTGTTTGCATCTGCAGGCCGCTGAACACACACACACACACACACACAAAAACTGTCCAGCACCAAATGGCAGACACACAACGTTGGCAGCTAGTTGGTGAACACAGCAGAGCATTTAGCCATGAAACTGTCAGATATTTCCCCAGTAGACTGGACTTCCATTTATTAGATGCAGGAAAACAACTCCAGATTAACAGATTTGTTGACACAATCATCAAAATGTTTTTAAAAAAGATAACATAAGCTTTTCTCTGTTCATTCTTCACTTGAATTTAAAACATAATAATCATTTAAAGCTGCATTGTCAATTCAACTTAAATGCATTGAAACTTAATGACAAATCTGCTGTAAAACCAATGTGCTAAAATAAGGTAAAATGTGTCACAGAGGTGCAGAGTTTCCTGAACATTCAAAGCCTTTGCGTTACTTAATTTAATTTAGCATTAATATTAGAGTATGGGTTCATCCAAATTTGAAGTGTAGGTGTTTTCACATGACATCGAGGCATTGTTTTGTGAGTACCGTTTATGTACGTGTGATCAAGCTTGTAGCTGGTTTGATTCTGGACACAGCTACACTGTTTCTGACACACTTTGAGGACTGAAACATCTGAGAGGCACTGAAAAAAGGAACAAAATTAAAGACAGGGAGCCTTTGTCTCGCTGCTTTGGCAATATTGTTCTCAACTGTCATGCAAATGAGGAGCACTGGAGTGAGTAATATAGGGAGAGATGGGCAGAACCGAAAGAGATAGACTATTAAAATCCATCCTTATTATTCCATATGGAGCCAAAAGCAGTCAGTGTGCTTTGAACTCAGTATCTTCTTTCTTGGGGTCTATAGGAATGTGATTCAATGTCCTGTTTTCTTTACATTACAGGATGCATTCAGAATATATTCTAGCACAGAACTGCTTCATGTCACCATGCAACCAGTGCTGCATGCTGCTACTGGCACACACACACACACACACACACACACACGCACACACTCACAGTGACCCATGAGATCGTTTTCACAGTAACCACGTTATCTCGGAGGAGCAGTGTTGTGTAAAGCTTGACCGCCTAATCATTCACTCTGGGATCAGAATGGCACACTTACACTAACCCACTGTGAAACTAGTGGTAGTACTTTCTACCACTGGTACATTCACTCAAGTACGGTAGTTGAGTATTTTCATTTTATGGTACTTCAACTTCCCCACATTTTAGAGGCAAATATTGTACTTTATACTCCCCACATTTATTTTATATGTTTCGATACTAGTTACTTTTTAAAATCAGATTATACAAACACACACACAGTATAGTCCATCCATCCATCAATTATCTATACCGCTTATTCCTGAATAGGGGGTTGGAGCCAAGACAGCTCGCCAGTCTATCACAGAGCTGACATGTAGACAGACAATCACACACACACACACACACACACACACACACACACTCCTACAGGCAATTTAGAGTCACCAGTCAACCTAACCTGCATGTCGTTGGACTGTGGGAGGAAGCTGGAGTACCCGAAGAGAATACATGCAGACACAAGGAGAACATGCAGAC